GTCTCTAAGTGGGTGTTTAGACAAGACATTTCCCCAGAGCGGCTCAAGGAAATCCTCCAGAAAAGGGGAAATAAAGAAGCAGATGACAATGTGGAGCAGAGAGACGAAGAAGAAAGACATGAGCAGGAGAAAAGCCAAGAGGACACAGACAGGACAGCAGGTGAGGACTAAGACATTAACACATGTTCGGTATGTTAGTCTTTCTGGGCAATTTTGAGATATAGTTTAACTTGAAAATCCTAGAATAATGTGGCGTCAGCTGTGTTGTTGTTTGTGGTGATTTAAAAAAATTAAATTCAAAAAGACAAAAAGTAAAATAATGGAAATCGATTACTTAGCCTATTTTTGGACCTCTGTATCAGTAATATATGTTTTTATGCAGATGACACTATGAACTTTCTTATTAAACGTAAGCTTGTTCTCAGTGCTAGTCTGGTCACCTAAAAGCATCCAACCTATAGACCACAGTCAAACCAATGATCATCAAATTAAAACTGTCTATTGCTATAAATATTTTGGACTCTAGCTGGACACATGAGTCTGCTAAAGCCCAAGAATATTGAAAGTAGAAATTGGACATTTGTATAGAAAGATCTCTCTACAGTTAATGTGCAGTGTGCCTGTTCTCTTTGGCTAACAGAAGACAATAGCATTGTATGGTATTTATTCATAATGATCAAGGTTTGGTTAATGATCAAATAATCACAGTAAGCTGAAGACAGGCAAATTAGTCATATTTCCTGTTCTGCAGTACACATTGTTTCATGGAGCCTGAATCCAAATCAGCCTGTTTTCTTCCGTGTTTTTCAGAGTTGCTGTTAGCAGTATGCCAGCGGTTCCCACACTCTCTCTCACCTGATTTTCTCTTCGCCCACTGCTGCTGGGAGTATGTGGTGCAGTGGAACAAAGACCCAGAGGTGTGCAAATACACAAGCACGCACACAACGCGTTATCAAAAAGTCACACGTCTCCACCCATAAGAAGGAAAAAGCTTTCCCAGATTTAGCATTAGCATACGTCTCTTCCAAGGTCGTCTCCTTGTGCTTTTCTACACCATTTCAAAACCTGCTGCTATGCTTAGATCACTCACAGCCAACACTGGTGAAAATGTAGCAGCAGCAGCAGACAGACTTGAAGGGAAGATTAGCTAAATTTACTTGAGGTTTTTGACTTTTTGGTGCAGCATTGTAAATCTTCTATCTGTGCGCAAACTAACACATACTGTATTTAATAGTAGAAAGTGCAAACTTCTGCAGTCTGATCTCACACCTGCTTCTCTTCATAGGAGGGTCGATATCTCTGCTGGTCTGTGGAACATTTGAAGATGGTCTCCAGTCCTCATATTCAGCAAGGTGAGTACCACACTGGCTTTCGGTCTGTTTTATTGATCCAATAATACAATGCATGCTTTAGAAGACAGTACCTCCCCGGTAGTCAGCATGTCTTAACTCCTCACAGGTGTTTGTACAATGATGTGGAGCACATTCATTGCCAAGCGTCTCTCGGCAGCAACCTTTCTCATGGAGAAAGTAAGTTCTCGTCATAACGAGTCGAGCTGAGCTCTGTCACTGTGTCAGGACTTTGTACAGAATTAAATCTCTTATTTTATTGATTTATTTTGAAACAGGTGGGGAAAGCACCCAAAGATCGCTTGTGTCGACGGGTAAGAGTTACATTTCAGCACCAATTCTATTCAAAATGTTTATTTGCCTGTAAATATATTAGTCCATACAAATATTCAGATGTACTGTGAATTTTTGTGCAGGATGTCGGGATGGGAGACAAAGCCATGACGTCCTTCCTGGGCTGCTGCGTCCAGCTGCTGAATATCCTGATGGAGGTGACTGGAGTGTTGGTTAGGAATCAGTGCCTTTTTTCTTTTATGAAGTTTTATGTAAGTAAAGGAGACAGCAGAGTGATAGCATGGAGAGTGGTTAGCATGGCAGTGAAACACTGAACGACAACAGTAGGAAGTTGTTTAGGCTTATAGAAATGGGATTTTAGTCTAATATAATGGGAAAGCATTTCTAGTTGTTAGTTTTTTTTTTCCACCTGCTGCCTGATCAAAAGAGCTACTAATACCACCCTCACTGCCCACACTGCACCAGAGACCTGATTTATTCTGTGCATGTGTGAAAAGGACTTCTTCCTGTTCTTGCCATTCACATAAAAGCTGCATGACTGCTGTACTCTTGCAGTAGTGAAGAACACTCTTGCTAAAAATATCAAATAAATGGCTTGAAAAGTAAGCATTAGGAATAAAATCAAATCATATCTTTGGTTTTTCTACAAGATCTCTTTTTTCTTAATGAATATGTATAATAGTGTTTAACATAAATTGGAAAATGAATCCTCTCATTAGCCGTATTTTCCTTTTCCGTGCAGGCGGACTCAGCGGTGGAGGAGGTTTCTGCCCCAGAGTTGTCCATCGAGGAGGCGTGGTCTGGAGCCGAGGGCCCAGCTTCCATTGCTGAACTTGCCCTGGAGCAAAGAGGTGTTCACTACCCGCTGGTCCAGCACCACTGCCTGTTAGCATCCCTGCTACATGCTGCTATGACCTTCAGTGTCAAGGTCAAACCATTCAGCCTTTTTGATAGCAAGGTGAGGAGATCGACACTCTGCCAAAGTTTAGAACAAAAACGTAGTTCCAACGGCCTCATCCTTAATGATGCAAACGTTTAAGCATTAATACAATGTAAACCAGAGTTATATAAACAAATAACCTTGCTGTAAATCCAAATCCAGGCTGTAAGGGTCGATTCATGTTTTGTAGCCAGTCTTAAGTTGCCATTAGGAAAAATGCAGTTGATGGTACTCCGGTGCTGGCAGATACAGATCACAAATGATACCAGCTGACATTTCTAATGTTTATCCATTTGTGTCACATGTGTGTTTGCAGGGTAAGAACGCTTTCTTCAGAGACCTGACGACCATCCAGCTGATGCCCAGCGGAGACATGGACCCAGGTTTGGTCTCTGTGCGACAGGAGGTAAGAGGTGGAACAAAATGCAGACAGTAATCGGACAATGATGTTCCACACCCATCGCTTGATCTCCTGCTGTTCCACTTTGTCCTCTGTTTCAGTTCCTCCTGCGGGTGCTGACCGGTTGGGTTCAGGCTATAGATGACCCCTCTAGCTCCGCTCCACTTCCTTCAAGCGGACCCAAAGCCGAGTGGTGGCCCTCGCTGTGTTTAGAGCTCGGCTCTCTGCTGCAGGTCAACCCAGACATCCTGCGGCGGCATCTCGTCTGCGAGCTCTACAGCCAAGGACTGGATCTTCGGGCAGAAGAGGTTGGAAACTGTTTCCTTGTAGATCACGAAAACTTGCTTAAACTCACTTTAGGCACTAAGACTACTTGGTTTAGGTATTGGTTAGGTGTGGTTATCTGAAGACATTTGTAGCCACAAACCGTAGATCACGAAAACTTAAATCTTAAAGCAATTAATCTCCCCGTCCTCAGGTGATGTTGGAGGTGGAAGATAAGGATGTTTTGGGCTCCCAGTTGTTGGTGCTGACAGGTCAGAGGCTGAGCTACTCGCTTCTCCACAGCCAGAACCAGACGCAGGCCGCCATGGAGCTGCTGGCCCGCCTGCCCCCCACCCTCTGCACGTGGCTGAAGGCGATGGTGAGATCCCAACACTACAGCCTGCTCTTTTCCTAAAGGGTTATTTGCAAGTAGTGCTTGGAGAACTAAAGTGCATAGTTGAGTGTACATACAGGGTAAGAGTCTTTGAACTCTACATTTATGTGTTTTCAGAAACAAATGGGAACCTTTGGTGTCCCCAAAGAGCCAATGTGTTGTTGTTTTTTCTATTGCTCAACTGAATCTGGCACCGCAGTTTCTCCTTTTTGTTTCTTTAAAATGCAGTCATTGCTGAGTTCTGTTCACAGTGACAGATTCTCTGTTATAACATGAAATTGTTTAACTTTTGCTCAAGTTGGTACAGTCATGAGTGTCCAACATGAATAATTAGCCATTAAAATCACAATAGGTTAAATTTAAGGCGTATTAAAGAATTTTTTAATAGAATTTAAATGATCTCAAAAACGTTACACTTCAGTTCAGTTATATCCAGTTCCTGCTGGTTTGGTTTAGGGAGCAAAAACTGGTGGTTTGAGAGTGAGTCAGTTCACAATGACGCTAGAAGATTGGAGAGACACCCAATGAGCAGACCGTGCCCTGTGAGCTGCTCTTTCTGAAACTGGTGCAATGATGTCAGTTTTGTCTGAATTTAGAATTAGATAAAAGCAGCACAAATTAAAATCCTGGGAGTAAAATGGGCTGATTTACTATTACTTACAGATATAAAAACTGACTGAAATCATTGGTGAGACTGTAATAAATTAGAAAGGGGGGAAAAAACTGGTCGCTGCACGTGCTGCCCCTCAGCCAGGACCTGTAATGTAGTTTAAATAAATCATCTGGTCATTTTTAACTGGAAGTGTGGTTTATTTTGCAGGACCCACGTGAGCTGCGGTGTCCCCTGATCCCGCTGCCCCAGACCAGCCGGCTGGTCAGTCGTCTGATCGAGATACTGCCGGAGAACCACGCTCAGTACAGTCTGGCCCTCCACCTGCTGGAGGCCGTAGAGGTCCTCACCACAGAGGACTGAGGGGGGATGCTGCAGATAGTTGGAATGTGAGAGACTGTCAGAGAGGAAGAGGATAAAGAACTTTCTCACCCCCGTTTGGAGGTTTTGTTGTTCTGCTCAGTAATCATAGGTGGTGTTAAACACGGTGGATTCAGAGGCTTTTAATCGTTTTTTTTAATCCATCTTATTTCCCTGCATGTGACAACAAATGAGATTAAATATTTGTGTTAGTACTCACGTTAAAGTCAGACACCCTGTGTGCCGTGTCAGACGACGACTCCTCTTCTTCACAGATCAGAAATGTATTAGCAAGAAAAATGGACCTGATTTTTTATTTATATATGCAGACTGAACTTTAATAGCTGTGCCTGTACACCAGCTGCTCCCATGTAGAATAAAGATGCTTCTTAAAGCTTGGAGAACATGAGTCTGAAGACCCGTTCTTTATTTTTTCATTTATAAGTCAGACAACTTTGAATTCTTTATGTTTACAAGGAACACAAGCTATTATACAAAGAAGTACCCACCAGCATCGGTTTGCTGTCACAGTGACTCTGTAGTGCATTATTTTCCCATATAGTAAAAGGAGCAACTAAATCAAACACTCATTTCTCCTCTGGTTTGTAGAGCTGTTTAATCACCTGGATTTGACATCTGCCTCCCCCAGAATACAGATCTAAACAGGGACATGTTTGAAAAAGAAAATATCCACAATCCTTATGATCACCAACAAAAGCTTGCAGCTCGATAACATCAACACTTACAGCAACATTGCAAGCTTACAATTTAGAATAATTAATTCAGTGCATTTTAGGATCTTTTAAAATCTCAAAAATATGGTGGCCAAGACGTTCATATCAGGAGCACCATCTACTAAATTCGAATTTTTTAAATGACAAAGTGCATTCAAGAACTGTCAACGTATCCGAGGCACATTTTATTTGGTGCTTTACACAAGGGAGGGAGAACTGAGGGCGCTACATCCAAATGCACTTCTGACAAATTAGCCTGTAGGTGCTGATAAAGTGATTGTTTTAAGGTGTAACTGGAGACTCAGGCAAACAACACAACCCAAACTTGTGTCTCTAACACAATTACGAGGTTTTTTACTATTATATCATTAATAGACGAGACAACAAACATCTCTAAAGCTCCAAAACTTGCCAACTGATACCAAAAATAGTTTAGATTAGGGGAGAAAATGAGAAATAAACGCTACAAACCAGAGGTGACGAGTGTACATTTGCCTTTGGGGTCAAATGTGGCTGTAGCACATTTTTTTTAAAAGAACGCAGACACACGTAAGCTCTCTGAATGGAAACCCCACCTATAGACCATTTTTTTACATTTGTTAAAACACATTTCAGAGACCAGATGCTTTGTTGCCTTCCTGTGCTGAGCTGAGGCTTCGTTTTTCTTCCAATAAGCATCCTCTGAGAGAGAACTACAGCACGACAGCAGATGTTTCTAGTCCTTTTTACAGCCTCCGATGGGCGTGCAAAACCTGGTCTCTGGTCAGCCGTCAAACCGAGCCAGAGGTCATCAGTGAGCCTGGGAGACGACGCTCTGGCAGCGCGGGCAGAGGCAATCCGCTGAGTTGGCGGTGTAGCGGCGACACCGTAGGCAACGGGCAGCAGAGGTGGGCGTCACTGCGATACTGTAGGCGCTCTCCTCGCGGATTACACCACCTGATAAAACACAGACAGATTCTGGTGTGAAACTTGAAGATTTGCAGGTCTGAATGTATAGAAATGCAAAAATCCTGTCAAAGCAGTTTGAATAAAAGTAATTTCAACACCAAAATCTTACTTTATGTGACAAAGTATAGATTACTATGGTTGCATACTACAAAAAAAGGTAAGGCATTGCTGTGACAGCTATCAGCTGCTGTTACTCTTATCTGGGAGTTTTAGGCTGAAGGTCCTCACCCTCCAGGTTGATGAGGAAGGTGCCATGGTTCAGCAGAGCCTCCGGATCCAGGTCCCGAGGCATCTTTGTGGCCAGGTTGACCCGAGCTGCCATCATCAGCTCAGCCAGCTGGGAGGTGGTGGAGGTGGGCTCCTCCTGGAGAGACTGGAAGTAAAGTGGATGATGGCAGGAGTATATATATTATATATATTAAAAACTTCAAGTACAAAGTAGTGCACAGTGTTTCACAAATCAAAAAATGCACGAGTGCTAATATGAGGCACCAGAAATACAAGTTTTTCAATTTCAGTGCACAACAGCAGCTGTCCTGGTAAAGGTAATGTCTGTAATTGTAATTAAGCAAAGTGACACGGTAGCTTGTAAAATCAGCCAGATATTAATTGATATTTAAATTGGATTTCAGTCCGTTTATGACTTTAAAAAAAGCTGGATGGGTTTTGGTGATGATGGGCCAATCTTTGCTCTCCCATTCTAAGTTGTTTCGTGAGTACTTCAAACGTTTTTCCAAACTCTGCTCAGAATGAATCAAGATGAGTGAGAAACTCAGACAATTTATTTTCTCACTGTTATGCTTGAGACGGGTATATTGGGAAGCGTTTATCACCATCAGTTTACTAGTCTAAATTTAATTGATTAAGAAATGAGTAATCATCGACGTCCCTTCACTCCGGCAGCCGGCTTCTTTCACAGCTTGCTGAGCTCAGCAGGTTGTTCACTAACACCTACTATCTTACACCAGAGGGCTAGTACTAGTGCAGTACACTACAACAGATGACCCAAATACAGCATCTCTAGGTCAGTTTAAAGTCTATATCTATTTCTTTGATGTTAACAAAACCAACACAAAAACAAACCCATGGGAGTTTCTGTCACACAATCCTTCTGCACTGTCGCACACACTTCCGTTCAGTTTATATGAAGAGCCAGCTTACCTCCATGAGTTCGAACAGGAGACCTGGCTCGATGGCGACAGTGAGGTCGTACCTGGCGGCGTTTTTGCCAGGAATGGAAGACAGGAAGGAGTCCCTGATGGCACACGCTCCTTCCACAGCCTCCTCTAATCCTGGTCGCCGCCACACAGAGCTGCTTTTAATCCAGCCACTTTTAAATAATGTCTCCTCTTCTATTGAAACACAGAAAACATAGAAAGGCTGTGGTGGAGAATGCGTGCGGCAGTAAAAGAGTAATCACAGAAAATTGAAAGACACGTACTGTCATGTCCTGGTGCGTGCAGGTACACCTCTTCAGCCATATGTGGCAAGATCGGAGCGATGGATCTCGTCACGCCATCCAGAATTTCCTCTAAAACCGTCTGGCAGGATCTTCGACCCAACGAGTCCTCTGCATCGCAGTACAGTCTGACCCACGGAGAGACAAAGACATGAACAAAGCTACTGGAGGCAAAGGAATCTTTAACATGTTCTGACATGTTACCTGTCCTTGATGATACTGAAGTAGAAGCTGGAGAGTTCTCTGGTTATGAAGGCCTGCAGCACACGGATGACCCTGCCAGCGTCAAACTCACTGTAGGCGTCCGTAACCTGGGAACAAAGAGACGTCAGCAGGGGCACAAATGTGCTCGTTTCATTAGTTGGATGGACTACACCTTAAACACACCTTGATGCTGTACTCGCGCAGCAGGTGCAGCATGTACTGGTCGATGTAGTGCATCTGTTTGGGATCCACAGCCTGCAGTCGCGGGTCGAAGCCCTGCAGGTTTCCGAGCAGGAATTTCAGAGTGTTCCTCAGCTGGAAGGCAAACAACAGCCATGAGAGGAGGTGCAGCAGGTGAGATGAACGTGGCGAGCAGATAAACTGCACCTTAAAGTACCTTACTGATACTGTCCCGGGCTGAGCTGAGCGCAGAGGGGCCAATCTGGACCTCAGAGAAGACGTTCGACTCTGCCACCCACCAGCGGAGCACGTCTGCCCCGTAGGCCGGCTCAGTGGGGTCCTGGCAAAGATGACAGGTTAGAAAGTCTCTACACAGAAATGCAAATTTATCTTCTCAGTTTCAGCTTCATTTAAAATCTTTTTTTGTGTGTTTTTTAAAGTGGCAAACAAGGAAATGGTAAAATCAAAGAATCACAATTGGAAATCTTTGATGCGTGAAGTCCTATATTTGCAGAGTGTAGCTCTGACACAACATGTAGATTGTAGTGAACAATTTATTTAACTTTATCTTAATTTTAAATCTAGAACAGGTTGAAAAGTCTTCATCCGTTTTACCTTCCCTCCATTAATGACCACATCAGGATCCACAACGTTGCCCACCGACTTGGACATCTTCTCTCCTTTCTCACTGACTGCAAAGCCGTGGACCACAAGAGACCTGCAACAATATTCATTTTTCAGACACTTTCATCAATTTTCTTTCTGTGTATCATTATCATCTGTGTGGCGAGTGGAAAGCACGCTCACTTGTAAGGTGCCTTGTTCCGGACAGCCACACTGGTGAGCAGCGATGACTGACTGAAACCAGCCTCCAATCTGGTCCTTTCCCTCCACATAAATGTCAGCCCGAGAGTCCGACTCCGCTGCAAGAAAAAGCTGAGCTCTGAGCTAAACTGTATAAAATTTGAGTTCAGCATTTAATGATTTGCAAGCTATTTTAAGCTAACAACAATAACACATTCTTAATACATCTTTAAAGCCTTTACAAATTAATCTCCCATGGGTCAATGAGATGATTATGGAATTTTTTAAATGACAAATACATTGTTGTCTAGTATGTTTAGCTAGCAATTTCAACTCCTAGCAAAACTTAAGCTAATAACTTCAGACTTTATTGATAATTTTAACTACGCATTTTAAATGACTGAAGCATGTTTAGTTAACAATTTATTTGCTAATAATTTCATGTCTTTATCCCTACTTTTAGATAACAGCTGGAAATTTTCAAGTTTTTACTGCTTCTCGCACTATTTCAACTGTTTATCCAGTTATGTAGCAAATGAACCTTTCAACACTCAGTGTCCTGAATGTTTTTGAAAGGGAGTCATAAAAGGCAGGGTGCTGAGATTCATGCTGTGCTAATCAGTTACAATCTTCCAACTGAACAACATGTTCATCAAAAGACATCACTGAGTACTGGCAGTACTGAGGCACTGCGATGGAGTGGAAGGAAGAAATGGGTTGGCTGGGAAGTGATAACACATCTTTACCAAATATCCCAAAAGATTTTAAAGGTAAAAAGAGGTAAAAAGTACAAGAGAAGATGGAAAGAGACAAAAAAGAAAATAAATGACTATAATACAAAGACTAGAGTGCCTGTCCCTGTAGCTGAACGATCGAACAACCTGTAACCAGAGATTTCTGGAGCCCAGCTGGGAGCCATCTGAGACGTGACTCAGGCTCAGAGTTTTCCTCCATTTGCTCTACAAATGACAACACAACCACACAGATGATGGAAAAACTCTCATACTTCAGCAAATAAGTGTCTATTTGAATCTCCTGGAGCAAAACAAAGCTACTGCGCCATGTGGTAGTAGTTCAAAAATACCTTCAAAATGCAGACCGTTCAAAGTGAGCAGGATCCAACTCTAATATTGGTTGAATTGCTATTAAAAAACATTAACTCCACTCACACCCCTCGGCAAATTTTGACCCAAAATGTGCTGAATAATGATCCCCCACCCCATTACGCCACCTGCAGCCTGAACCATTGACATGAGGCAGGATGGACCCCTGATTTCATCAAATTCTGATCCTATCCCAGATATTTGTGTTTAACAGGTATACCTAATAAAGTGTGTAATTTCTGCTATTTCAACTTTTAACCCAGTGTGTTTAGTGAACGATTTCACTTCTTTATCCAAACATACTGTTTCCATACTATTACCAGTTTTAACTTTTAGTCATACTTATTAACCGGTTTTCATTTTTTCCTACTTCTGACCCTGACAGTGAGCAGGAATTTCTTCCAGTTCTAAAAACAGATAAATAAATCCAATCACCTTGTCCGGTATCTGTGATGTGCTGACGTTTGCTAATCCAGGACTCCGACTAGCCCACTCTCACTAATGATGCTTTGCAAAGCAGCTCAACTGGCATGTGGGACTACATAAAGTAGCTTCAAGTAGCTTTGTCGCTAATAAAACTAATAACAGGAGGTTTGATTAGAGGCACTTGGAAACCTTCAGTCACAGACTGTTCTGCTGCTCTGAGACGATCATTTTCAATGTCCTCGGAGAGGTTTTACAAAATTAACAAAATCCATTAATACTTTTACATGATCTGCATAACAGGACAAACTGAAGAAATTTCAAATGTACCTTCGAGCACTGCTGCCCACGACGCTCCACTGTCAAACCAAATGTCCAGAACGTCTTCTCCACGAACGTAATCACTCGCTGCACCTGCTTTACTCTGAGACAAATATATATTCACAGAAAAACTGTGATAAGTTTTACATTTACGAGAAAAACATCTCAAATATTCTCTTAGAGAAAAAAAATGTAAAAAGCATTGCAAAGAGTAAAGCCATGTGCCCTTGACTCCCTATGATGCCTTTAAAATCATTAATGGATATAGTTTCAGTTTTTCCTTGTCCACAGCACGTAAGAAAAGGCTTTTCCCAGACTTATCGAAGTCCAGCCACCATTTGAAGTGTAGCTGGTAACTTACCGGAGTAGAGACAGAAGGGTGTAGAGCTAAAGTGGAAATTTACCCAATATTGGTTTATAGATATAGATAAGAAGCATATGCACGAATGACACCATCATCAGCACAGAGGTGTATTTTTGCTTAGATGTCCTTGCAAATGTCATTAATAAAAACGGGTCCCAACACAGAGGCCTGTTAATCCAAGAAAAATCTGATTTACGGCCCCCTGTGTGGACACACACTGGGTTTGATGCACCAGTAGGTTTGCTCCTAAGCTTGTACACTGGTTTAGAAATAGAACCCAGAAGGGCTGTAACATTGTTGCACATTTTTCTTAGAGTTGTTGTAGTTTTTACAAAATGCCGTTGCCTAAAAAGTGGGACGGCAAAGTTAAAAATGCTTGAGGATGGGAAGGGATGCCTCTGGCAATGACATCAATGATGGATGACAGTGAGGACCCTGTTATCAGTAATATCTGATTGTTAGCTGTTTCCACACATTAGTTTACGCACCTTCTTGAGCACCTCGGGAGGCAGCAGAGTCTCAATGGGAAGCTCCCACCAACAGTCGCTGCCCTTTTCTTTGAAGAGCTGTGCGATGTGGGACACAGTGTATCTGTAAAGGTCAAAGAATCACAGATGTTTGCCAGTTTGTAAATATTGTTTAAAAAAAAAAAAAAAGAGAGAAATTTCAAGCAAATACAGTAAATATGTGCACGCAATGTGTTTGTTGCTTTACTTGTTGATGAGAGCCTCTCCACTTTCTTTATGGTAGAAGACGGGGATGGGGACGCCCCAGCTGCGCTGCCTGGAGATGCACCAGTATGTCCGTCTGTCCAGCATGGTGAGCAGGCTGCTCCTGGCCGACTCGGGCAAAACACGCACCTTCTGCAGGGCCTCCTGCAAAATCCCACACACATACTTCTTTAGACAAAACTGGAAATGTGAAGCACTCCCGCTCACTGGAAGAAATGAAGTGTCAGGTACAGACGAAAAAACTAATCTGGTCCAAATGATCTGAATGTCTTTTACCTTTGCTTTGTCTTTGAGTGACTCTGTGTTGATGAACCACTGTTTGCTGGGTCTGATGACTACAGGTTGCTTTGTCCTCCAGTCATACGGGTAACTATGGACGCACTGCTCCTCCTTCAGCAGAGCATTGCACTGCTTCAGCATTGAAATCACTGAGTGAAGCAAACATCAGATACATCCATCATCAAACAAGAAACAAACTCATTTTCAAAACATTTTTTTTATCTTGATTAACAATATTATTAAAAAATTATTTCTTTTTAGCAGCCTGTAGAAACCCCGTGCTCTTCCATGTTTTTATACCTTTATCGTTTCCTTCTGTCATTACAGAAAGCTTCTGTAGTTCAGGTCCAGCTAATTCATTGAATGTCCCATCTTCATCCACCATACATTCCTTTGGTAGAAGAATAATGTGCACAAATACATCAGGTTTTATCATATACTGTAGCCACATTATTCATCAAACATGGTCCACACTGTTAAATAATAATCTCCTTGCATGCATATTGGCTATACTGATTAATGAAAATCCCTTTTTGTATTTTATTTGCTTTTCACAGATTTCAGCCAACTCACAAAGCTTTCAAAAGTCAAAACCTAAGAAATTATGTCTGTGTGTGTTTGTGTGTACAAAAAGAATGATTAAAAACATAAATACATTTCCAATTGGATTTTTTATATATTTCTGTATTTTCACCTTAGTTATTTCCCCAGAAATATGTTTTTTTTTCTGTATTTCTTCCTACTTTTGGCTCATTGGGGCCTCCATATGCCCACAAGTTTTTTCTTGACTGTTGGGATTTTTAGTTTTTACACACAGAACACACCACAGGCAGTTTAAACTGCGAGGCCACACTGTAGTCCTCCATCCCATGCGCCGGTGCCGTGTGAACCAATCCAGTTCCCTTCACCATGGTCACGTGATTAGCTGGCAGCAATGGCACTTGTTTGTCAGGAATCGTGGGATGTTTGCAGATCCCACCTTCAAGCAGGGAGCCTAGGAGAGGAAAAAGATGGAGAAACAGCTCTGCTCATGTTCTCAAACTTTGGGCCAGGGTCCACTGATGGGACGCAGAAGGAAAAATACAGAGAAGAATTTCATTTCCCCAAAATTCAACCTGGATTATTTTTGTTAAAAGCTCATTTCCACTGCAGGAAGTATCACGTCTGCACCTGGTAACGTGATGCTTCAGACACTGTGTGTTACCTGTGAAGGTGCCTACAGTCTGCAGGTCTGTGCCCAGCAGTGCTGCTATGCTGGCCGTCCGCTCAGTTGCTACTAGAAACTTCTCAGAGTTGTCCGCTCTCTTCACCACAGAATACCTGCAAGCAAGACAGAAAACAACTCACTCAAAACCCCACCACCCTATCCACGTTACTGACATCATAATAACAGTGCCTGGGTTAGACAATGTTTGGTTTAAAACAAACAAATACACTCTATAGTTATGAAATGGAAACGCATCTCTTAGGTTTAGGTAATAAAGTCATGATGACATCTTATAAACTGAAACAAATCGTTTGCTTTTTTCACGACTGTCACATTTTGCAATGAGACCAAGCTGGACGAGTCTCCAGTGTGTGGTGCTGTTCCTTACTGGGCATTTGGCATGTAGCAGACAGCCTGGTTAGCAGGAATGGTCCAAGGCTGGGTGGTCCACACCAACACGGAGACACTTTCCATCCCTGCACAGACACACACAGTCAGGAGATTTCATACCAGGTGAAAAATGACTAAAAGCTTTATCCACATGTGTGCTTCACCTTCTTGTGAAGCGATCTTTGGTGGAAGCGTGACGAGGGGGAATGTGGCATAGATGGCTCTGCTCACATGCTCGGGGTTGTACTCCAGCTCCGCCTCTGCCAGAGCTGTTCTGTAAGATTTGCAGCAATAGATTCAAGATTAGAAGAAATTATTACAAAGATGTAATAACTGCAATAAACTGCATTACCCGGATGAAGGAGACCAGAAGACAGGCTTGTAGTCCTGGTAAATGAGCCCCTGAAGGACAAAGAGGGACAACCACATTAGCTAAAGATATCTCAGTGAGTCCCATTTTGATGTTTAAATTAAATAAACAAATTAAAAAATAAATAAATAAAATGTTCTCTGACTGGAGTTTGGGGGTCTGTTAATCCAGCTGACACAAAGAAAGCCTGGTCATGCTGAACCTGCTTTGTAGGTACATCGCTCTACTGTGACACTGCCTGATGCTTAGCTCAGACCCACCTTACTGTGCATCTCTTGGAAGACTTTCAGCTGAGCAGCCTCGTAGGTGCCATCAAAAGTGTAGTAGCACTGATCCCAGTCAGCCATCACCCCCCAGCGCTGGAATGCAGCTTTCTGGCGGGCTATTGCTCCCTCTGCAAACTCCCGCGCTGGATGAGACAAACCAAACAGCAGCTGCATAAAATCTGAATAAGAGTCACCAGAAAAAGCCCTCTTTCTACTTCCTCCTTCTTCTTCTCACCTTTCTGTCTGATCTGCAGAGGACTAAGGCCGCTCGTCCCCAGGTCTCCCAGAGCCTTCAGCTCAATGGGGAGGCCGTGGCAGTCCCACCCTGGGATGTAGTGCACCTGCCGCCCTCTTAGCATCTCAAAACGGTTACGGATGTCCTTCAGGATCTGAATGGAATAATAATTGAGAAGCTAGTAAATATTTACAAATCATGAGGGCAGGAATAAATACGCCGTTGTTCGCATCCAAAAGCTCCGTCTTATTTGTTACTTGGGGAAACTTTCACTATAGGAGGAAGAGTAGGTGAAATATACTACTTCCATGTTACTCTAACCTTCCCAGTCTCAAATTCCTTTGGAATGTATTTCCTTTTAACTGGGCTCAGACAGAGTTCCTTTAACAGAATAAATTTGATGTCTTTTGTTGTAAACCAATTATCAAAAAGGATTCTTACTATGCAGAGACATCCAGGAGAAACCTTGGAGTACAAAATGTTGTCTTTAACAGTTGATGTTTAAAGGACTAGTATAACTTTTATAATGAACAGTGGCACAATTTTTGGATTTAAAAAGGCTAAAGGTGGGTCAGGGTTGGTTGGCAGATGGTGTTAGCCCTGCAACAGGTAGGCGATCTGTCCAGGGTGTGACAGCTGGGGTAGGCTCCAGCTCAACTACAATGCTGAATTGGATAAGTGAAAGAAAATGAATGGATGGATGTGACCTTATGTACAAAGATGCTTTTGTTTTCCTCGTAAAATGCACTCATTATTCTACACGTGTTTTGTGGTATAACATTATATTTGCAAACCAATTTTCATTGGAGGAGGACTTGATGATAGAAAGCTGAAAGGTTTCACTTTTACCTTATTGAGAGCGTGTCCAACATGAGGGTCTCCATTAGCATACGGAGGTCCATCATGAAGGCAGAACTTATTCTTGGCCTTCCTCTCCCGCTGCCATGAGTACAAATCTGCAAAACCACACTCCTGCAAAAAACAAAAATTAATATCTATTAAATCTTGAGTGAGCTATTTCCAATATGTATGAAGGCATGATATAAGTATTTTATCACGTGTGACCAGGCTTAGTAATCCCATTCCTGTAACTTTTACTCGTGTGTTAATTTATTATTTTTATATTTTTATAAAAGTCAAAATAGTTTTATTTTCTTCTTTTACTTCCTTTGTAAAATTTCTTATACTGTCTTGTGCTAATCACGTTACAGTAATCCCTTTAATATTTCATGAATAGCACTTTAAACTGCCTTGTCGTTGCAATGATCTGCATGTTTCAGCTCAAAATTGAAATCAGGACTAGTTAAAAGTAACAATGATATAGCTGTCAGCCTGAACAGTCATGCCGAATTAAAGACTAACTGCTAAACAAAAGTATAAACTATTCGTCTGTTGTACTTTATCGAAACCACTTAGTAAGCGACATAAAAAAAAATAGAATTTAACAATTTTTGAATGAGATTTCGTTAGCCTGCTGTACCTGTTGTATTTGGAGTTCTCGGTCCAGAAGCTTCTGTCCGGTCAGTTTCATCGGGAACTCGGTCTTGGGCAAAAGCACTGAATCCCGGTACAGTGCGTTACCGGAGCCGTTCTCTGCGGGCTGACCATTAACTTCACCCGAACCGGTACCGTGACAGCGGCGGCTGGAGGTGCAAGACCGAGCGCCGTGCAGGAGGAGACCGCCTCCCCGCTGTGACCTCCGTGCCCATCGCACTAGCGTCTGGCTCCCCGCCGAACTCCGGCACAGCAGCCGCAGCATGGACAGACGAATAGCTCTGCGGCCGAGCTGCTAACTCGCAAAAACAGACAGCTTTGTTGTTTCTGCGTGAAGTTTCCGTGTTGTTTTAGTCCGCCCTTCTGTATTAGCGTGCTCTGTTTCCTTCGGAAGAAATACAGGAGAGGACAGCTACGGAAACCCAGCGGGGTCATGGGTGAAGCTTTCGCATTTGTGACAGCGAGATGCCGCTGGGAGCGCTGTTTATTTTGAACCATGACAGCAGAAAGAAAGACATTGCTATAAATTATTACGCGTAAATTACTTTTCATGTATATAGAATATGGAGTGGTGCTCATCACTTATGCCTCACTGGGGTTCAAATCTTGATATTTAGGCCCCTTAAAGACCTTATAGTAACTTTTTACTCCAACAAAGCACTTTGCTCTCAGACTGCTGGTTTACTTGTGGTCCATAGCATATTTAGACGTAGAATGGGAGGCAGAGGCAGAGATCACGGGGGACTCCCCATGATCCCCATTGAGTGTTTCCACAGCAGTCTTTGTGTTTTCCTTCCCACTGTCACAAAAGTGCTTGTTTATAGGGGTAATCTGATTGTTGTTTTTTCTTTGTTTGTTTTTTCGTATTTTGTAGGGTACTTACATTAAAGCTTGAGGCAACTGTTGGTGTGATTTAGTGCTATATGAATTGAATTGAATTGAATTGAATTCAGTCTGGGGCTTTTCTGTGTTGAGTTTGCATGTTCTCCCCATGTCTGGTTCTCTTGTGGTAATCCAGCTTCCTCCCACAGTGCAAAGACATATAGTTAAAGAGGTTAGGTTCATTGGTGATTCTAAGATTGATTATAGGTGTAAATGTCAATGGTCGTCTGTTTCTCGCCCAGAGAAACAGACGACCAGAAGTTAGTCATTGTGAAAAACTGGCGACCCGTCCGGAGTGTACTCTGTCTCTCGTCCTATGACAGCTGGAATAGGCTCCGGATAGATCTATCTGTTTATAGATAGATAGATGTAATTATAATTTGTGTGTCGTATTCACCTTTTCCAGTTGAGTTTAGTACTATGATTAAAAAATAGTCTGTTTTCTGTTACATAAAATGTCTTTTTTAGAGGGTGGCCTCTCAGCAAATCCACTGCTGAACCAAGACGTTTTAACTCCTCTTTCAAAAGCTACACTTCCTTTACGCCAGCTTTCTATTGATTGACTCCCTCTTGCAAACAGAAGGTTTGAACATCAGGCTAGATGACTGGGATGACTATATTAGTGCTGTTTCCTCTCACAGGAGCTTTGATTATTGCAGTATTATATATTTATGTACATGAGAGAAAACAAGGAAACACAACAAAAGTCCCCCTTTAAAAGGAACCAAGCAGAAACTGACCCTTACAATGTACCTTGTGTGCGCTTGTGTGACATGATGAGTGAAGTGTTTTTCATGCATGAATGCGGTCCTCGGATTTGCTCATTCAAAAATTCAAGTAGAATTTGGGAAAACTTTACCTACAAACCTAAAGAACCTAAAGTAGCCTAATTATGAAACTGGGAATCTCTTCAAAATAAATTATAATAAACATACATGACCATAATGACTCCAGAAACAGGAAAGTTACTTTTTGTCAGAATTACGATTCAGCCTCAGTGACAGTCTGCATACTGTATTACTCCCTGATGTTACTGTCAGGGCCTTAGAAACTTGTTTTCATCAAACTGGCTTCATTTTTTGCTTATGTTTCACAGTGAGACTATAACCTGGCAGGACTCAATGCATCATCAACAGCTTGACTGGCAAATGAACTGAATGTGCAAAACACAGAGTGTTGCCTGTTGCCTTTTCTAAAGCGTGCCTTAGCTACAGCACATAGAAGAGATTTAAACAGCTCTGAAGTACAAAGCATTTATGTTGGAGCTCTGCACGACCTGCTGGTGCCAACTGGCTGTGATTTCTTGGGCCACATGAGGTTTGTTCTACCAGATTAAATTCAATAAGTGATACAATTATGACACATAACTTAAAGATTCAGAATGAGAAGGAAAAACTTCCTTTTACTGCAGTACAAGCAAGTTTTTCTTTCTCATTCTGAATCTCCACGGGTGCTGAACACACTGAACATTTTAATAATCTGGTTAATAATTGGCTCAAATAATAATCTTGTGTTTATGTTTCATCTTTACACAATGTAATCCCCACATATGAAATGGTATAACCTCTAAATAATGTGTGAGGGATAAATTAGAGTCAGGAAGTGAGACAAAAAAAATTGGTTCTTGTCATTCATCTTCAAACGGAATTTAATTTGACCTGCAAAGATAGAAATGGGGAGCCTGGACAGCCTTGTTTTAATCACTCTATTGAGAAAGCTTTACTGAGCTATTTCATCTAACGCTCTCCACTCAAAAAGAGAACACTGTAAAATCACGATCAATGCATCAAAGACCACATAGAAAACAGGGAATAGTGCAGTATTAGTATGGCAGCTATATCTCTAATTTATTAAATATGCATTAAGTAATTTTGCTATTCATTTGTTTTTATTTCTTATCCGGTTTACTATAACGCAAAATGCATAATTCGTAGCTAAGTAAAAGTAAATAACATTTGTTGCAGAAAGATACATAAAGGCAGGTGTTTTGGCGTGGTTGATGACGTCACTGGGAGGTATAAAAAAAAGCAAAGGCTTGGTCTCCTGCTCCATTCACGTTTTCTCTACCAAGAAGAACAGAATCCCCTCCATCATGAAGAAACTGTGCGTCGCAGTCGTCGGAGTTTTGCTGCTGGCTTTCCATCTCACATCACAGGTCAGTTTGATCCGTGCCTCCTTTTTTTGTTTTGTTTCTATCCAATCCAATCCAACTTTATTTATATAGCACTTTTAAAAACAACAAGTTGACCAAAGTGCTTTCCAATAATAGAGTAGAATAAACAATAAGATATACAATGAATAAGATTAACAAGGTAGAAAGATTAAGAATGATCAACAGCTGACTAAAAACTGACTACAAACTGACTCTGATAATACTCCTAGAAAGCCTTTGAAAAAAAGTGTGTCTTTAAAAGTGATTTAAACATTTCTAAATACTTTCACCAACCTTTTAGGTTAAGGTGGGAATCAACTGTGGCCAACGGAATTTGTTTACGCATGAAACGCTGTAATGGCGCAGATGAGCTAAATGTTCAATTAGGGATCGAGGTTAAAACGTTATGCTTGGAGTGCATCTACGATCTCGTAATTTTAGGGGAAAAGTCATGAATATAAAAATCAGTTTGTCCCCTGCAGAACAGACGGCGGCAATAAGGATACAATGGCAAACTTCTAGAAGTTTCGGGCTAGGTCTTGAACAGAGGCTTTAAAGCGTTTATCTTACTTTTTTTTTTTCCAAATCAAAATGGAAACGAAATGACTGAATTGATTAACTTTCTCCCTCGCACGTTAAATCCTAGTTTAAAAATGAAATCACTCGGACTGAATCATCTTAATTAAATACAAATGTGTTTCAGGTGGCCCTGGCGAATAACGCCACGAATCCGGACAACACAAACATCACCACCCCGAGCTCCACGGGGGCTTGTTGTGGGGCTACCGCCGCCTTCATGGTGCTGCTCCCCCCGCTGGCTCTGACCGCTCTTCTCCTCCACCGGTCCTGATTGAGTGGACTGACCGCGCTGGACACAAAAGCCAGCACAGGTTACACTGTGGATCCAGTGCTGGCTTAGTCTAAATACACTAATCTCTCAATCCACCCACCCACCCCCTCAAAAACAGCCAAAAACGCGTTTTGGAATTACATTTCAAGTGCTGGGTGGGAAACTTGTCTTAAAAGGCGACGCTCACTTTCAAGCATTCTGCTCCTTCTATTGTCTGTACTGGCTCTGCAAGGACTCTGAAAACTACTTTGGCACCACACCGGCCCTTTTACTCCTGCGTGCAGTGGGAGAACACCTCAGACTCGTGTAGTGACCGTCTTTGATTCTGGTTTCATTCGCCTGAACGTGATTTGTAAATGAGCTAAATTGTGACCACTGTACTTTCAGGGTGTGACTTGAACTGTTTATTTTTATGTAGATTAAATAAAGCTTTAAAATGTGAGACCACATGACTGACCATCTCTTTCCTGCTTAAAGTTTTCAGTGTAGACTATAGAGCCATCAAATTAAAACCGAATAAAGCTGGGGAGGCTGAGAATGAAGAGAATCAGATCAAGGGTCCACAACTGATGCAGCTCTGCTTCAAACTCCAAGGCTCTTACTTGGTTTTGGATGAAGGGGAAAGAATACGCTGAAGAGGTGTGGCCTAATTCTCAACTGGCTTTAGCTGCGAGTTTATTTCAGTTTGGTTAAAGCACAAATTACATCTGGAGTGTGTGGAGTACTGACATTTCAGAAGTGGTTTTCTTCATCCACCATAATCTGGCAACAGTCTTACAAAGCAAGACGTTGGTGGCATTTTAATAACTGACCAAGAGCAAGTAAATGAAGGGCTGCCGAGGCCTTCCTCCACCTATTGCAGGGGCTTAGCCATAAAGGAGCCGCCTGCTTATCTGTGAAGGTCGGTGGCTGGATGGAATTCACCTGAGCCCCCCCCCCGATTTGTGTGGGGATTTCCCCCTTTGATCACGAGACAAAGGCCGCATTGTCCAGCTCATTCTCTGCTAAACTCAGATCAGGACCTACTTCAGGTGCTGCAGCTTCAACTGCATAAGCATTTTTCCTTGATCTTCACATTTTCTCATCTTCCTGCTTGATAATCCGAAACCCAAAGAGGCCACATTCACCACCGAGGTGTGACCCCTTAAGTCTCTCATCCTCCCATTTCTTACCATCTGGAACAAAAGCAGAAACCTGAGTTCAGGTAAAGTGTTTGGTCACTTGTGGGAAAGGTGGGTGAGGGTACATGAAAGAAGGGAGAGGGGGGAAAGGTGAAGGACAAGTTTCAGAGTTGAGCCACTTCTCCTGTTCCCAGGCTCTTTCTGAGCTGCAAGGTGCACTCAAAACTTGAATGATGAAACAAATGGAAACCTTTGAGGCTGAAAAATGACAAAAACGCATCAGGACTCAAAGTACTGCTGTTCCTTCAACAACCGGCTCCAAATGTGAGTCTTTTCCCATAAACCCCCATGTTTAAATGTCCAATTTTAGAGCAGAATTAAACATGTTTACAGCCTGGAACAAAAACAAGGTTTTGGTCTTTGGCTTGTTATATATGATGTTAACATTATTAATTTGTAACGTATCTTTAAGCATCTTTTGTTTAACTCTGTGTGTTGAATACCAATTGTTGGTAAGGTTTGGAAAAGAGTTACCATCAGGCTGACAAAGAAAAGCAGGAAGTGAAACAGTGCAGATGATATCATCAGTGTGATGGCTGCTCTCTGAAGCATGGATTTACTGTTAAAAGTAAGTGAAATTGATACATGTAGGGCTGTAAGTACTTGGACATTGACTCGATTTTTGTCATTTTTCCCATTTATACCTCCACATTGGATTTAAAATCATGCAATAGGTGATTGAGTAACTGAAAAGATCAGATCAGCAGTTATTGTCTCGCTTGGGAGAAATTTATCTTGGACAAAGAGGGGAAACGCGTCATATAAGATAGCACACATACATTCAGTTTCACCAAAAGCCCGCTCTACTGGTTGGATGTCATGTTTCTGACTTGGTCATTGAAGAATATCCCATTTCTTTGTACCAAGAAACTCTTGGGTTGCTTTTGCAGCAGGAGTTGGGTCATTATCCTTTTGCCCCATGAAGCACTATGAGATAGGTTTTGCACAAAACTTTTTTTAATTTTGTGCAACACATTTTAAAAACTGGAATGTTAATGTAATTATGTTAAAAAATACACATACTCTGTTCTGGGTGGACTCTGTGATTACTTTTCTTTTACATGCTGTGAGAAGTGACCAGCCTGATGAGTGAAAGTCTTCCTTCTGGAAGTAGGTTTTCCAACCATCTTTTAAACAAGGCATTTCACACCACGATACAACTGCATTCTGGCAGAGAAAAGCCCCTCAAGCTGGGCCTTAAAAGTGGCAACAGATATGAGAGCTAGATCCCAGGAACAGAAGGGCTTCACCCACAGTTTGAGCAACCACACAGCCGGCCCAGCTCTTCACCTGAAAAAGAAACCAGCAGAGGGATAATGGTATGATTTGCTATGCAGTTAATTGCACTAATCCAAAACCAAGAAGTTTTTTTTGCTAAATAAAATTCTAGTATTTTATTTGGATGTTACATAGCAATAATTCAGAATAAGAATACTTTATTAATCCCCAAGGAAATTATGTAGTGGTTGTGGTGCTTGTGTGATGCACCCATATTGTGTAAAAATGCAGTTTACTTAAAAATTAGATAGTGCTAGTTGATAACTTAGATTTCCACTCATTATACTAAATGTGGTCACGTCTCTCTTAATAAAGAAAGAAATAATCGTGGCAGCAGCCCAGCAAATTGAGACTTCAAAATGTGAGTCCACAAAACAATTGATGGCCCAGTGGCTAAATCAGTGTTTTATATACAGTCTGTTGGTGACTCACCAAGCCACCTTACAATATTGTATTTCTGAATTTGATATTGACCTATAAAATGTCCCCTCACTAAAAATATTAACCAGAAAATAACATACTACATGAAAACCATAGCCATACAACCTTAAACCACCATTTAACAGCGGTGTGCGATATTTACAGACAGGCAAGCAAGTGCTTCCTCCTCTCACAACCAAATAAGTAAGTAAATAATAAAATGAAATAAACTGTTCCTTATATTCTCCAGTCTTTAAAAAGAAAAATTGGTTAGATATTTCCTATATTAGTAGACAATGCTGAGTGGTGGATAATTTTTTTAGAACCACTGCTTTAGCAATAAAACACTATGCAAACACTAGGCCAAACATTCTTACCTTCTTCACACACAATGCGGTCCTGTGACCATGTGTAAGAATAAGATACCACCCTTTCAACTCATTCATAATAGTGACTGCCACATCTTATTGGACTATTGAACTTCACACGTAATGGGCACGAGACTTTAAAAAAAAAGCTTTCTGTCGTGCTTTAGAAGGTTAAAATATATTTTTATGCATAATTAGTGACATTGGTAAAGAACAGAAGAGGTACACATATGAAGCTATATTTATTCTTCCTCTGAGCCCCCAGCAGCATTATAAACACCCTCTAGTGTCTGGATGTGGAATACTGCTGTATAATAACCAAAATTTATGATAGTTTAAAAAATTGTTTTTTTGAAAAAAGTCAACTTTGGTTTAATATTTAACTTAATTAATTCGATTATTTTCATTCTAATCTTACGGATAAAACTAGAAACAAAAGTACAGCTCCATTCAGTATTTTCCAATGACACCACAAAAATGGTTTGCCTTTACCATCTGACTCAGGTAAGGTTTCTGATTAAAAACAACTAATGGTGTCATCGTGCCCTCTAGTGGTGGCGAGCTTTATAAAACAAAACAAAACAAAATACAGCATGCCTTTTAATATCGCTTTCACACGATGCAAGAGATTACGCTGCAGTATACCCACAATACAAACTTTAGGGGTGCCTGTTTGTATATTTTTCTAATAACCCTAACCCTATTTCCTAATTTATTCCTGAAGTTGGCGAAGATGAACTGATTAAAGATCTCATTTTAAGTCTATTGTTTTCATTATTTGTGTTGTTATTCACATTTTTATTTTAGGATACATGAACCTCATCTAAACAATCTGACAGGTCAAATGTATCATTAAGAGTGTAAAACATTAGCAGAAATGAAAACTTGAAGTTCCAGTTTATAGTACAATTTAAAGTTTAATATTGATCTCCACTATCCCATGTCCAGTTCTGCCTCATTAAAGGATGTAGAAACTTGGCACAGCAACAAGTATATAAACACTGCTGTCTAATGATGCTAATGCTAATTTTAGTGCATGCCACGATAAAATTCAATACAGTGTAAATACAGGCAAGCTTTTAGGAGGGCTAAATCACTAATGTTACGTAGTTACGTTACTTTGAATACAGTTTTGCAATTTATGGTGTAATTTAGATGTTACAGAAGGAAAGAGGAAATAAGCTATGCGTCATTTTCGGTTACAAAAGGTTTTTCTCCCGATCTTATACTGTGATTACACATATTTTTGAAGTTTAATCATCATAATAATAAATGTGATATATAAGGTGCAAAGAAAGAGGTCCTGTTTGTGACTCTCCTGTGAATGTACAAAATCCTATACCATGTGATAACAACACTAACCAACACAGTCACGTGTTCTCAGTTTGCTCAAAGTTAAGTCTCGCCAGAAGAAACTGAAGAAATTATTAAATTAGTCTTAGCCCCGCACTTAAATGAGATTGAAATGATTATATTTATTTTCTATTTCCCATTATCTGACGTGCTGTGATGCAGGGGTGATTCTAGGATCAGAGATTTTGGGGGTGCTGAGCACCCAGAGAACTGCCCAGCCAGGCAAGATAAACTTTACTCGTCACAATGAGACTTCTTCCCCGTCTCTGTCAGTCCCTGCATCCTTAAATGTCTCCAGTTGTCCCAAGTTCCCTCTGACTGTCTCCTTGGTGCATTTAAACCGCTGTTCCTCCCTGTCCTCATCGTCTGTTGTCTTCATCTCCGTTATCAGTCATCATAATTTTACCATCTCTGTGCAAGTCTGCAAATTTCTTTATTAAATCATAAGATTCTTAAATTCATCAAGTCTCTCTGTGCCTGGGTCCTCGTCACAAAACATGACATCATTGTTTTGTACATTTTAATAGTGAGTAAGAAGTAAACTGAGTGCATTTTTTGGACAGAGATTCACTTTTGATGTGTATGTATAATACAATACAGATATATGAAAATACACTCCAAAAATAGAGTCATTGAAATGTACAAAATATTGATTAAAAAAAAAGATAAAAATGGAGGCAACTTTGCCTATGGTACAATGTATGAAAATATCTTTACTGCAGATACTACTATGGCTCTGCAGATTTTTTTCTTTTATTTTAACCTATGTGGCCTCACCTTGAAGTTGGCAAATCTGTCTATCACTTTTTGGTGGTCAACTCTCTCAAGCAGTTTAACAGTTCGTTTTGCCTGTCACTATTCCCTGTCTGTTTTCCTACCTGGTTCTTCCTGACCTTGCCCTTTCTCCTCACGTTCCCCTCTTTCCTCTCTCCCTCTTTGGACTGACAATCATACACAAATAGATTGTATTCAATTAGATGAAAAAATTACATTAATATGAAAAAAAAATACTATTAAGATCACTAATAAATAACAAAAATCCTCTCTCAGTGTACTTTCAACCAAAAGGCAAATAACCAAACCACATGTACATCTAATAAAAGATATAAATATTGAAACACTGATTCAACATTATCCTTTATTGACGGATCATTTGTTCTTACACTTTTACCTGAATGTGGCTCCTGGGTTTAATGTCGGCACATATGACAAAATAACCAGCTTCTCTCATTCCATTTAAAACAGGACAGTGGTAACAACTTTAGGCTATGGACAATTTTAAGTTTTAGATTTTAAATAGGCTGTATACATTTCAATGGGAGCAACAGGGCGGTCAAATGTCGCTGATTTTACTACAGAGCAGGACGGATTGTAGGGTAGAAAACATCGTGAAAAACACGTTTCCAACACTGCAGGTTACCTGGGTGAATCAGCTAAAAAGAAACATGGTCTGACTCCTACCTAACTATATAAAGAGTAACTGAAGGTTAAATGCAGCTAATATGTCCTGTTTTAAGCCAGGCACTTACACCTCCACTCCGCTGTGTCTCAGCCACCATCGCTCTGGCAGCAAGAGCGCCAGAGCCAGAGTAGGGGAGAGGCGAGCTGGAACAAACCATTTTGGGAGGGGGGGGGGATCTATACTTTTGTTGTTAAAATGTTATGTCTCAACCAAGTACTGTATGCTTTTTTATTTTTAGTAGTGTGTCACACAAACAGCAAATATTGTCAAAAAAGTAAGAAATATTGGGGGGTGCTTTGATTCATTTTAGCCCCAAAATGGGCTAAAATCGCTGTGATGTTTTATCTGAAATTGTAAAACATCTGAACAATCATGATCCAAAACGGATAATATTCAAATATTAATTTTGAGGAAACTGCATATGGGGCGCCGTTTGTAAAGTGAAACATGCTGAAATTAACGGCAACATTTTTCCACATTTAGCTCAAAACCTTACAAAAACAT